CTCAAGCGAACAAAAGGATATATCAAGCAGGCTGATTAGGCTGCGACGCCCGATTCTTTCGTTTTAAGTCGAATGAATATAGTTTTATTAAGATTTTATAGGTGGGGGAGAGGGGGGGGGCTATTCTAAATAATTACCGTAATAAAGTATTATATGTATGTATCGGTCACTTGCTACACAATGACAACAAAAAAAATGATAATTTTAAAAAGGGAAAAGCGATAAACTGATTAGCTTTCACGCTTTATGGCTCCCGCACACAGAACGCGGCAATGCTTGTTGTCGCACTAACTAATAATTTTATGTTTTTAAGTCGACCTTGTAAAACTTCTAGAAATGATGTAATAACTTCTGCCGCGCGGCAAAAGTTGGATTGCGTTCATTCTTTTATCACAACAATTGTGAGAAAATGCGACGCTTGCCGCGCGGAAAAATGTGCACATAGCGTCACATTTTCCCGCGCGGCAACAAGCCACTCCATTTAGAATCTGTAAGGAGGACTCTCTTATTGAAGGAATATATACTATCTCCTCCACCAACCATGAACCACCATGGGGCTGCACTACCTGCTGTGAGGATTGGGGAAACAACCCGCATAGCAGGTAGTGCAACCCCATGATTCACGGTTGGTGGAGGAAATAGTGTGATTGGGGAAACAATCCGCACAGCAGGTAGCAAAGTTGAAGAAGCCATTACATGACACACACGGGTGGTAACTCAAGTAATCATTTAAATGTACGAGTATTTGCAACATTTGTCAATGAAAATGTATTGATATCTAGTGATTGAATTTGACATCGAAATCGTATGTGTTTATTATGTGCATAATAATGAGAGAGATAATAATGAAACATAAATAGGAAATTCTTTTAATACCGATTTTAGAAGACATTATTACAAAAATAAATGAAAAATTATTAAATTAAGAATGAGTTATGTTGTCGAGATGTATTGTTGTTATTGTAGCAAATAAGCGATATATGTATAAATATAATTTGTAATATTTAAGTATTTAAGTATACACACATACTGGGATAACATTTGGCTCGAACTGAAAGTGACAGATTTGAAATTAACAGATCGTAAGTTCAAATCCCACATCTCAGAATTTCGCGATGACTTAGAAAAGGCTATCTATGTAAAAAAAGGCACTTACCTGCATTATCGTGAGGCTGGTTTGCTTGCTGAGCGTCTCCTTTTCAACGTCATTTGGATAGGCGTTGAATTTGTGCTCGCTCAGCCACCGCTTCAAGATGTTCACTGCCTCTTTCGGCAGGTTTCCTCGTCGCCTTCTCCCCGCGACGTTTTGTGCGGCGACAGCACGTCGATTTACGCGGTTCTCTCCGCGATTTAACGGCGACCCACGTGGCGAGGTGTTTTCCGCCTCCGACGATATGCTTTGTTCATCGTCAGTCGGAGGCAATGCTCTTCTTGTGGCGAGTCGTCGATTGCAGTAAGGCACTGTAACAAGAAAATAATTTTGTTTACTTGAATGTATGCTATTAAATTAATAAAGACCGCTCAGAAATATGACATCGCGGTTTTCAGAGAGTTTGAATGACAGAAGTTGGTCTGTTAATAATTGTAACACTGTGCAACAAGAATATTTTTTTTTTTTTACAGATAGAAAACTCAAGTTATTCTCAAAAATAGAGACAAAATGTAATACAAGCGTACGTGTCGTTTTATGCACATTTCAACAGATTATAATATTTCGGCCATGGTGCAAGATGAAATTTTACAATTGTCTGAAAATCATGTATTTTCATAGAAAATTAGTCGCTAAATGAGAAAAAGATCTAAAGCGGAAATGAAGGAAGATGTTGAAAATATGTATTTTTCATTCAAAATTTTCAACCTTTCTACAAAAATGTCAATGCATTTCTATTGAAGTTACGTATAACGTATACGCCGCGATCTGATTCAGATTTACGTTTACGAATCATTTCATCCTTGTTTATCAAATGTTAAACAAACAAGAGTTATGAGCATTTTCAGATCACGGCCTAAATGGCGATTTTCGATTAAAAATACATTTTTTCACCATTTTGCTCTACTCCAATCGCTTTAATTTAATTGTTTTCTGCGATCAATTTTACATGGAAATAGTATTATGGAAATATATACACATAATGTTCAGACAATCGCAAAATTTCATCTCGCGCCGCGAGACGAAGTGACCTCCTCTAAACTTCAAATGTGCACACAAATTTAAACGCATGCCAAATTAAACGTATTAAATTTCATCTCTATTTTCACAGAAAATTTGAATTTTTCATGTGTGAAAATGCACGGTGAAGTAACTCGGAATACTTACTTTTTTTTTTACAATTACACGATTTGTTTCGACACCTCAAGTTATACATTTTGTCAACCTAAGCACAACCTAAGAGAAACTGATTAACAAAAGCCAAGTGACAGTTATATATACCCTGCAGGTAGACTGTTTCCTAC